CAGGAAAGCGATCTGCAATGGAAGATATGTCTAGCTCCTATTACATTGGATCTGGTGATAATCCAAATGCAGTTCTCGTCAATCCTCAGCTTAATGGAAATAATTTCCATTCATGGAGCAAGTCTATGAAGATAGCTCTTGGTGCGAAGAACAAAATGAAGCTTGTCAATGGAACAATTACTAAACCGGATGAGAAGGATGAAATCTTCGAGATTTGGGAAAGAGGTGACCTAATGGTCCAATCCTGGATTCTCAATTCATGTACGAAGGAAATTGCTCAGTGCATTCTGTATGAAGAAACCGCAGCAAAGATGTGGTCAACGCTGAATGAAAGGTTCTCTCAAGGTAATCTTCCTAGAATTTTTGATCTGCAAAAACAAATCTATGCTACAGTTCAAGGAAATTTGAGTGTGACTGATTACTACAATAAGCTTGATACTCTGTGGAGAGAGTTAAGTCAGTATAATCCGGTTGTAGGATGTACTTGTGGAGCTGTTAAAACCTGCAAATGTGAGTTTCTGAAAACTTTGCAAGAAAAGGAAGAAAGAGACAGATCTATGAAGTTTCTAATGAGTTTGAATGATATTTTTACTGGCATAAGAGGACAAATTCTGGTTATAAAACCTTTTCCTCCTTTGAACCAAGTTTTCAGCTATGTTTTGCAAGATGAAATGCAAAGAAACCTAGGTAATGGTCTAAATGTGGAGCCTATGGTGATGATGAGTAATGGTCAATTGTCTGAACAAGAAGAGTTCAATCATGCAGCAAACTATGGTCAAAACAACAGAGGTTTTAGGCCATATAACCAATCTCAGAAGAAGGAAAATAAAGTAATCTGTACCCATTGTGGCTTTACAAATCATACTGTTGATAAATGCTATAAACTGCATGGCTACCCGCCAGGATACAAACCCAAAGCTAGACAGAATCACATTATTTCTACTGGTGGAAATAACTCAGGACAAAATAGAGCTTATAACACTCAAATGGAAGTGATCCCTCAGGCAGTAGATGATAAAACAGTTCCCAATGTGACTCAGGAGCAGTATCAACACTTGCTTAGTCTGATCCAAAATCTGGCACAATCTCAAAACAATAACCTTACACCCCTATCTTCCAATCAAGCATCCAGCTCAGGTAATATCTTCAAAACCTGTACTCTTACTACAAGAGCAAACATAGTGTTGCCATCATTTCAATCCTGGATCCTTGATACAGGAGCAACTGATCATATGATCAGTGATATCTCTCTTTTTGATTCCTTCACACCTACTTCCAATACTTCAGTCCATTTACCCACAGGCTCAAAGGCCATTGTCACACACATTGGAAACATAACTCTTTTTCCAAATGTCATTTTGACAAAGGTTTTATACATTCCCAACTTCAATGTTAACCTTTTGTCTGTTAGTAAACTTTTGTCAGAAACATCCTTAACATGACTTACATTCTATTCTGACAAATGCATCATACAGGACAAGGCTTTGAAGGAGAAGATTGGCATTGCTGATTTGGTGAAAGGGTTGTATATACTGAATCCTCAGAAGTCTATTCATGCCTCCAATCCTTTACACCATTCTCATAATGTCATTTCTAGTTTGTGGCACAAAAGATTAGGCCATATTTCTGATTCCAAACTTCAAATAATGAAGGATGTATTGCATATTTCTGATTTTGATAATAAAGATTGTAATATCTGTCCTATGGCAAAGTTACACAGATTGCCTTTTCCTAGAAGCTCAATAAAATCTGAAAAACCATTTGATCTTTTGCATTGTGATGTTTGGGGTCCCTTTTCCTTACCTACTTATGATGGTTTTCAGTACTTTCTTACCATAGTTGATGACTTCTCTAGAACTGTTTGGTGCTGTTTAATGAAACACAAATCTGAAACCCGAAATCATATCATTTCATTCCATAAAATGGTCTCAACACAATTCTCTACCAAAATCAAAGTTATTAGAACTGATAATGGGACTGAATTTTCCCTTTCAGATTTCTATTCTAGTGAGGGCATAGTACATCAAACTACCTGTCCCTACACTCCACAACAAAATGGAGTAGTAGAAAGAAGACATCAAACCCTTTTAAACATTGCCAGGGCACTTAGGTTTCAAGCCAAACTTCCACTACCATTCTGGGGTGACTGCATCCTCACTGCAGTTCACTTGGTAAACAGGATTCCTACCCTTGTTTTAAATAACAAATCTCCTTTTGAAGTCTTTTACAACAAAACCCCTGATTATTCTTCCATCAAAACCTTTGGGTGTTTGTGTTTTGCTTCTAATCTCATTGGTTATAAAGACAAGTTCCAACCCAGGGCCAGAAAATGCATACTTCTTGGATATCCATCACATACTAAAGGATATAAACTCTATGATCTTAATACATGTCAAACCTTTGTGTCAAGAGATGTTACCTTCCATGAATCTTCTTTTCCTTTTCACAATCTTTCTTCCCAGGATTCTGACATTGTCATTCCCAATGCTATTTCAGATTTTACCATTCCCACTATCACACCAGTCAATAATCACAACCATACATCTTCTTCTATAGAAAATACAACATCTGATTCCATTCCTTCTCACAATTCTTCTGCCATTGATCTCAATCCAAATGAGACACAACAAAACACCAATTCTCAAACCACTTCTACCAGACCTCCAAGATCTAAAAAGCTTCCTTCCAGACTGCAGGATTATGTATGTGCAACCACTCACACTGAATCAGCACTCCACTCTTCTCTTCAATCAAAGACCAAGTCAGGTAAAATTCTACATCCCATGGCACACTATATTTCTTTTCATAGATTTTCCATTCCCCATCAAATTTTTTCTGCCACCATCTCACACACTATTGAACCAACATCCTACACACAAGCTGCTTCTGATGCCAATTGGAAAAAGGCTATGCAAGAAGAGATTAATGCACTTGAGTCCAATGGAACCTGGATTATCACTGATCTGCCTCCTGGGAAATCTCCCATTAAGTGTAAATGGGTATATAAGATCAAATACCATGCTGATGGAACTATTGAAAGATACAAAGCTCGACTTGTTGCAAAGGGTTTCACTCAAATAGAAGGCCTTGATTTTCTGGACACTTATTCACCTGTAGCTAAACTTACTACAGTCAGAGTACTTCTTGCATTAGTGGCATCAAAGGGCTGGTTTTTAGAACAAATGGATGTAAACAATGCTTTTCTTCATGGAGATCTCCATGAAGAAGTCTACATGCAGATTCCCCAAGGCTTCATCTCTCCAGGAAAGAATAAAGTTTGCAGATTACTCAAAAGCTTATATGGTCTTAAACAAGCTAGTAGACAATGGTTCTCTAAATTGTCTACTGCCCTAAAGAACTATGGATTTGAGCAATCTCATGTTGACTATTCCCTCTTCACCTTACACACTGATCAATATACCATGATACTTTTGGTATATGTTGATGACATTCTTGTTGCTTGTTCCAACATGCAGCAAATCAAGAATATCAAACAATTTCTAGATAGCAACTTCAAAATCAAGGATCTTGGACCTGTCAAGTACTTCTTAGGTCTAGAAGTTGCACGTTCATCTGCGGGTATCTATCTATGTCAACGCAAATACACCATGGAACTACTACAGAACTTTGGATATCAAGATTGCAAACCAGTTTCTTTTCCCATGGACAGTAAACTTCGCTTAAGCAATTCTGATGATCATTATCTCACTGATGCTACCACTTACAGGTCTTTAGTAGGCAAGCTTCTCTACTTAACAATCACAAGACCAGACATCAGTTTTGCAGTTCACACTCTAGCCCAATTCATGCAAAAACCAGGACATTCACACTTATCAGCTGCACATAGAGTTCTCAGATATTTGAAAGGATCTGTAGGACAAGGCCTCATATACTCTTCTGATTCTGATCTCCAATTGAAAGGATTTTCAGACTCTGACTGGGCAAGTTGCATTGACACTAGACGTTCTATAACTGGCTATTGCATGTTTCTTGGAAAATCACTCATTTCATGGAAGTCTAAGAAGCAGAACACTGTATCTAGAAGTTCTGCAGAAGCTGAATATAGGGCACTAGCTGTTACCTCTGCAGAAGTTCTTGGACTGCTACAACTTTTCAAAGACTTCAGAATACCTACATGCAAAGCTATCATCTTTTGTGATAGTAAATCAGCTCTTGCCTTAGCTGCAAACCCTGTACATCATGAGAGAACCAAACATGTAGATATTGATTGTCATTTCATTCGTGAATGCATTCAATCTGGCACCATTCATGCTCTATATGTACCAACATCTCATCAACTAGCAGACTTATTCACAAAACCTCTTGGACGTCAATCTTTCCACTTCTTACTATCCAAGATGAGAGTTCAGAATCTACACTCTCCTCTTGAGGGGGGGTCTTGACATATCAAATAAAGCTTCAGCTGACCTTGCTGCTTTACTTGCACACGTGGAATTATCTAGATTGATCCAGAACTTTCCTAGTCTGTTAGTTGTTAGTTAGTTACAAGTAGTTATAGATTTTATTTATTGTACTCATTCTATAAATACTGCTTTATACGTTTACTTCATTTCAGTGATTACTCAATAAAATTTGTCAGTTCATTTCCTTCCTTTTCTTGCTCATACGAACTGGTTCTGTGTTCATGCTATGAGATGAATTTCATGTTCTCAAATTCCTCAATGTTACAACTTACAATTGCTCTAACTTTGTATTTCGAACTTAGTTCACATTTTCTTCTTTATACTACAATTTTTCATATGTAATTTTATTACGGAGTGCTACTGTACTAGATATATTAGAGTCTTGGTGGTCAATATGAAAATTACATATAACCATAATATCCAATTTGACCTTTGTCCCAAAAATATATATTGAAATGTTAAAATTAAAATAAAATCAATGGACTGCCACCTCACAACTATTTGTCAAGGGTCAGTGTTAAATGATTTTAACATTTATCAAATATGCGAACATAATAATAAAACAAGTCACAAGAATTATTCATTCACACGTGGTATTTTATAAAAATAATGATAACGGTTTGGTAGTATAATCAATAATTCAACTTTCAAGAATTCAAAGGTGAAGACATCAAAATCAATCAAGCCATAGATAATATAATAAATAATGGTTTAATCAACAATGAAGCCTGTCCAGAATAACTACAGCGTTAAGGAGGAGCATTTGATGCAGAAAATGGTCAACAGTTCAACTCAGCACAAGGTTCAGAAACATAAACAACGAACCAAGTTCAGAATAAGCTAAGAGCTAACCTAGTTGGAAGAAAGAAAGAAATAGTCAAACAGGGCACATAATTCCTTGTGTATATGCTTTTGGCAAACAAACCAACAGCAGAATGCTCGGTTTGGCATAGGCGGTACGGCGGGAAATGAAATCATTCCTTGGATGATTTGTTGATGAGTGACTTGTGAATGTGGGGAATGACACCGCCTCCAGCAATGGTTCCTTTTATCAGGGTGTCAAGTTCTTCATCTCCCCGGATCGCAAGCTGCAAATGCCTTGGGGTGATACGCTTCACCTTGAGATCCTTACTTGCATTCCCAGCCAGCTCCAAAACTTCGGCAGTCAAATACTCCAGGATAGCTGCAGAGTAGACTGCTGCTGTAGCCCCGACCCTTCCATTAGCTGTGGTTCTCTCCTTCAGCAACCGATGAATTCGTCCAACTGGAAACTGCATTTTACATTTGCATTCAGTCACAGCAAGAGACAAAGAAGATTCCCGAAAAAAAGTGAGTTTTTTTGGGTGGAGGTGAGGGGAATTCTACTCTTGATGGGATGTATTGGTGTTAGTTCAAAACGCAGCTTAACAAAATCCAGGAATTTCCCAAAGGAAACAAAGCAAACTAAAAGAGAAAATGTCCATTCCAACTATTCCTAATAAATTATCTGGATACAGTGAACTCCAATAATGATAATTATAATTGCATATAATCAATTAGAAAATTTCTCTAGATATAATGAAGCATACACATTTGGGTAGGTGGATAGTTTGATGTTTGGATGTTCGATTCTATGAGTTCAATGTAAGCATTCTCCTTTCAAAAAAAATGAATCATATACATTATAATCAAGTATAATTGCATACAATTACATTGCATAGCTATATCTAGAAAGTCAAGTGTAATAATGTAATGATAATTTCATTATAAAAATGTTATTTCTAGAGTAGCCAACATAGCAGTTGAATGAAAATTTCATTCTATTACAATGCACTATTAATTCTATGACACACTCCATTCCATTCCATTGCGCACTATTAAATATCCCCTTGTATAATTGAATGAAAGAAAGTCTGTTGTCCTAGTCCCAACAAGACCATACATAATAAAAAGCTTCAAATTATAAGCAATATGAACAATGCATTTAATCTGACTACGAGCAATACTTGCAGTATACTTTGACTTCACATTTCCTCACACAACCTAGGAAGGGCAATGTGAACTGGATAACATCATATTCACATAAACTTGTGCAATTAAAGCTCTTGGGTAATTCAGTTTACCATGGTATCTCACAATACTAGCACATTGACAAAAAGGAGTACTGCTGGGATAGTCTAATTACCTTGTTTTTAAGTATTAATACAGCACTTTTTATGTCAAATTTTACCTTTGAAACTAGATAGACTTACCAAAAGTAAATTTGCATTCTCAAAATATGAACGAAATAGAGTAGGTAAACTTAAATTTGTGTCTTCTCCAGCGATAAATATTCAAGGGAAAACCATCAAATTAGCCCCCGTAGAATAGCTAGAAAGTCAATTAGACCCTCGTACTTTACAAACAACCAATTGAATCCTCAAACTATAAAAAACGCTCAATTCAGCGTTTTAGTAGGTAGGATACCAGTTTCTCAGTTAAATGTACACGTGCCTGTCCACATGGCAATTCTTCCCCTTTTTCTTTTTATCTTTCTTTTCCCTTTTTCTTCTTTCTCCCCTTTCCCTTCTCCATTTAATTTATTCCCACTCCTGGGGCTTTTTTTTCTTTCTAGCTTTATCCCTTCCCGTCAAATTCTTTCTTCTTATGTCTCTAAGCGTTAGCTCCATGTTACACGATGAGTTGCTCTGCCGCCTTCCAGCAAAGCAAGACGCCGGTGACCGAAACGGAAATAAAACGCCTTCCAGCATCTAGTCATCTCCTTTGAGCAAGGCACTTGCAACCGGAAAAGGGAGCTGTTGAGGCATCTTCTCATCACTTCTGAGAAAGATGCAGACAACCGGAAATTAAAAAAAAAAATGCCAGTGAGAGAAGGGACGACGGCGATGCGCTTGAAGGCCAAAGAAGCTTGTAACTGTAAACGCTGTCGGGGAAACACAGCGGCGACACAATCGAACTCCACCTGTGGTGTCAGCTGTCCTTGGAGATGGTGGCCGGAGCCTCAGACGCTGGCTGCAAGTCCTTGAAGAGTTGAAGTCCTCCCTCTTGCGAACAGGATCTGCGAAAGAAAGCAATGTATGCGGTCTGGAAGAAACAGAGAAAGAAACAAAGAAACTAAGCTCGAAACTGAGAAAGAAAGAAATAAAGACACAAACAAAGAAAAACAAAAAACAAAGAGAAAGAGTGGTGATGACGGGGGAAGTCCCGATGATGAGGGAAGTCCTGGGAAGATGGGGAACAATCAATGCGAAAGTCTGGCAGGGGAGTGGGAAGATGGGGAACCAGAAAAAGGAAAGGAAAGAGAAAAAGAAACGAAAAAGAAAAAGGAGAAATATAAGGGGGGGAAATCATCACCATGTGGCTGCCACGTGGCCGCCATGTGTGCAGTAATCCGAAAACCCGATTATTTACCTGTTAAAAAGTTGAGTTGAACGTTTCATAGAAGTTCAGGGACCTGACTGGGTGTTCCAATAGTACGAGGATCGAATTGACTTTTATGATATAATACACGGCCTTATTTGACAGTTTTCTCAATATCCAATAGTGCACTATAGTGGTGTAGCAGAGTGTAGCAGGAGCTGCACATTACAATTTATAAGACTCTCTGTAGTGGAGCATTTGGCTGTAGCAGAAAGAATGCCCCCTATAGCAGTAGTCGTGGAGGCTATGGCAGCAAGTGTTTGAAAGTTCTGCACTAGGATTAGGCGTTTTTGGAATAAAAAGTATCCACATTAAAACCAGGGTAACTACGTAAAAACCATCCAATACTTCACAAATACTCCGTTTCATCTCTGCAACTAGTGTGATGGTATCACGACTCAGAAGTCTTAGAAGACTAGTCTTCAACTACTTTAACCATAACTGCTGTTCTTATACTTCCAGACAATTCTACTTTTCTACATCCAAGTCAGGAACTTGTTTACTATGCACTATGGAGCCCACTGACATGTTTAAAAGAGTAAACTTAACCGTGGTTGGCAGTAGAATAGTTTGAAAGATTTTAAGCAGAAAAAGAATGCTATTCAAGTCACTACGGAATTCTAATTGGTAATGTCAAAAAGTTTGAGCAATGAGCAATGTATATCATATCCATGTGTTTGATATAGGCGTGCTATGCAATTATATGCATACATGTGATTATATGTTCAAAATAAAAGTTGTCCGAGCAGTGGTCATCTCACTATCCCCTAGAGCATTTACAGGCTGCATGCTCTGTAATCTGGGAATCAGGAATGGCAACACTAGTCGTCTCACATTACCTTATACTAGTATGATGGTTTCTTTATAATTAGGACAATTTTAGAGAATCAGAAACTATCACCGCCTTAAATGAAAGAAAGTAGCAATCTTTGCATATTAAAAGCATTCAAAAAAATTAAAAATTCATCACATTGGCTAGAAGAAATGCACCTTGCCCGCCACTGCAAAATCAGCTGGATGGTATGTGATTGCATACCCAAAACTTTTGACAGCCAAATTGTAATTCATAGAAGGACATTAAAAGAGATTAAAAAAGCAGTAACTAGTTTCTACACAAAACTCACAGGGAATTGCCTTGAAACTTCTGTTCTATTAAAACAAAGAAAAACCCTACACATCTAGCAACATAAAATACATGTAGCAAAGATTTTAAAAACAAGTCTGTGAAAATGGAAATGTCAGCAACTCAAGAGAAACAAAAATCATTCATGCAATCACTGCTAATACAGAAATCACCCCATAACAAGCTTCCTCAGAAGTACCCATTCAAGTTTCTAACTACCCTGCTTAATGTTTATGGATGTCCATTATTGCACACCATCATTTACCTATTACATTGATTTTTCTCAATGCTGGTGATTCAATGTAAGCCAAATTACAGTAATGTTCAAGTTTGAAAATTCATAACACCAATATATGCAGATAGTTGTCAAGGGTTTCATAGATCCATACAGATGAATCATCACTCCAATTATCACTTAAAAGCACCACACTGTAGTTTCTCTAAACTTCTCCTGCAAAAGAACGAGCCTTTGAAACCCACCCCTATACTTTCAATGGAAGAAACCCTTCCATTAAACGGAAACTTGAAACGCAAAAAGTAAAAACATAAGAAACCATTAGCAGATCTACAAGAAGCCACACCCAACAGACCTCTGGAGTAGTATATCAGTCAACAAACAAGACGAATCAAGTATACAACTCCAAATAAACTGCCTCATCACATAAAATAACCAACAGAACCAAAGAAAATTACGAATTTAACAAGCAAAAAGATACATTTTCATAAAAACAGCTTGTGCCATAAAGTCAATGAATCAGCAACAACTGCTTCAACTCAAAGAGAATGAAATATGCAGCTTAAAGCAGATGCATAGGCGTATATATACGGATCAAGAGAGAAAACCAGAGAGTGTGCAGTGAGGGAGGATGAACAGAGAGGGAACCTGGAGACCACCGCGAGAGGAGCGAGATGTGGGTTTCTTCTTGTCCTTGTCCTTGTCTTTTTCTTTGATGGCCGCAGCAGCTGAGGTTTTCCCCATAATCAACCCCTTAGCTCCCTTTCCCGACATCTTTCCCGCCTAAATTTCTCCGATTTGAATGAAGATGGACAGGAAGGGTTTCGATTTAGCGCCGAGGAAGAGCGAGAGAGGGTGAGTAGTTAGTCACTGGCTAGCAGCTACCAAAGATTCCGTTTGGAAAAGTACGAGAGATTAGGCTCAGCCGTATTTATAGACGTATAATGACGAAGCTACCCTAGCCCCACCGCGAACTGGAAAGCCAGAGGGTGGGTAGAATGGGAAACGGACAGATTGAGATGTTTTTGTTTGTTTATACCAAGTATAATTGTACTTGCCCCTATACTGGCTCCCGTGAATGGATATTTTTGTTTTTGTTTTTATAATTATTCAAGTTTGGTCTGGTCTGATATAGTTTGGTCTGATCTGATATAGTCTGGTCTGGTTTAGTATGGAACAAATTACAATCGAAGTAAAAACACTCTAACTTCTAACACATATTCCCTTTATTTTCTATAGATATGTTTCATTTTTTTTATTTCATTAAATTTGTTCATGTTCTATTTGTTAGTATTTGAGTGATTGTAATTCACTTTTACTTTATTCAAAGTTTTTTTTATTCAATATCAATCATATTATTTTATTTTTCTTGATAATAATAGTAACACCACTCTCTCCTGCCTCAAACTTAGAGGGATGGAAATAATACTTTTTAGAATAAAAGTTTACATAAAGACTTGTATTGTATTGAAACAGTCACATGAAGTCATCTTTGGAGCGGCAGATTATTCTGATTTTAAGTTTTCTGATGCTTGGGATTGCAACTATGTCAGAGGGGATAACGTTGGTGGATGAACGGAATGCAGATGGGATTTTGTATCGGTGCTGGATCATGAAGCCTTCGTCGGGCGCTTTGACGATGGTTGAGTTTGTATTCATTCATATTGCAAGAGCTCGTCCTCCTCCAGAACCACCTCCATACCAGGAAGAGTTTTTCGGGAAGTTTTTATTGCAATATTATTTTCTCTTTAGTAATGCTAGTTTTAGTTTTAGTCAGAGAGGATTTGATTTGAATGTTTGAATTTTTGGAGTTATTTTGATATACAAGGTTTCAGATCTGTTCATTTTAGGCTTAAATTTACCCGTTTCAGGTTTAGCGAGTCAGGTTGCTTTATATCAGGTGACTGATTCTATGTCTACTCCTGAAGTTCACGATTGGATCTGTAAAGTCTGTCTGAATATTGTCTTGTATGCGTTCTTGATTTTAATATAAAGCAGTCTGTTTTACGTAAAAAAAAAAAATGAAGTCATCTACATAACGGATTGCCACAAAAATATGTTTATTTTACAAAAGGAAGCACATGAGTTCAAATTACCTACTAACAACATCCTAATCCTGGTTACCACTTATGTGGCCATGTTTTTAGCCTTTTAACATTTTCATGTCAACTACCACATGGATTGTTATTTTTTTGAATTAAGACATATTCGTAATACTTATGGATCCTTTGTCTACTTCGAATAGGGTTCTGTTTGGGTTGAGATTTATTGTGTTCATCTGCGTGTTTGATTGCATAGGGCAATTAAGTTACTTTACTATATTTTATTTACTTGGTCATGTGTTATCTGGTAATGAATTTGATTCTAAATTGATATATTTTCGTTGTACGTGTTATTTTATACGTGAAAAATAGTTTTATATCTTCTGTCTTGCGCCAAATTTTGGATTAACGTTTGTATGATGTTGACTATGTGGAAGTTTTGTAGTTTCTTATAAAATTTTGAAATCTATGAATGCTCGGTAAATGTTTAGTGTTTAATTTGAACATGAAATAGTCTACTACTTCACGCAAAATAATATATACCCCCATTATTTTTTTCAGATTTTTTTGGAAGCGAAACTCAAAATACACAATAGCAGTAATTTCAAGAGAATGTCAAATATTTCATATGTAGATGGTGGCATTGAAAGTGTTATTTTAGACGCACATAAGATTGTTTGCTCTTGCTTGATGAACTATATAACAAAGGATATGTATAAAAACTGGAACCATTATCACTCAAGTTACTCTCCAATTAATTGAGATGGCTTTTAATCATGGTGTAGTTGAAGTATATGTGGAGCATGGAGTTGATGAGTATGAAATTATTGAACACTCAGAGTTGTCTTCAACTCCAGATGCGGGGGAGATGATGCATCAATGAGGTTTTTAAGGTGATGCATAAGTAGAGAATAGGGCAGAACATCGAAGTGAGAAAAATGGTGAAGACGAGAGTGAGGTAACACCTAATGGAAAGACAAATATCATGAAGAACAAATGGTGATGATCAAACTTCAATAGAGGATGCAAAATAATTGGATGATGAGAATGATGTTGAATTATAGAAGGGTCTTTAAGATTGGGTTAATAGAAACGTCATTGGCAACACTTTGGAGTCTGAGATCGACAGTGAGAATGAATGCAACTAGTATTATGATTCGGAAGACAACCCAAGTTGGTACTCAGATTCTAACAAAGAAGTGGGCCATATGATGCATTCTAAAGTGAAGAATATGAAATTGTCTCTATACGATCCAGGTTGAGAATCAAATGATCTTAAGTATAATGTTGTTGACGATGCAACGGAGTTCAAGTCTGCTCTGATAAGCTACACAATTCATTATAAGAGGGACTTTAGATGGGTAATGAACTTGCCCGGCCATGAGAGTTCAAGCAGCATGTTCTTTGAATTACCCATCCAAATGCATTCTCCCATTTCAAAATATGTTTGATTTAATATGATATATTTCGTATATAATGAAAAAATAGTTAGAGGTTTTATCAATCAAGTACCTGAAAAATAAATGGGCTATCAATCAATAACTTGAAAGATGAAATGTGTCATTATATAGGACCGCCTAGTCCCTTCAATAAAATTACATATCTTAAGTTCTCATTTCTTTTATATTTGTTTTTCCCTAAGGGCATTAGCCTTTGTTTTAGTGTTATGGTAAATTGGTGATTGTTCAGTGTGAGTTTTGGTGTTCTTTCATTTAGTTTGTCTATGCCTGGTATCAGAACAAGATAAATGACGAAGGTTGTGAATTAGTCATGTTTGTCTTAGGGTGTGTTTGGGAGTTTGAAGGGAAGGGTAGGAGAAAATTTTGAAGGTTAGTCATTGGAAGGGATGGGGAGGGAAAAGGATGGAAACCCTTCTTATTTAGGAGTATCAAGTTTGAAAAGATAAATGTTTTGAATGAATTATAATTAAAATCACTTCACATATATGACGAATTCAAATAGTTGAGTTTATATTTATTTAAAATTGAGATAAAGTTGTCATTTAACTAGTTATCCTTTAAAATCTCCCAATTTGGGAGGATTTGAAAATTGAGCATTTGAAGGGTTTTGGGAGGTTACAAAAGTCCTTCAAAACCAACCCTGCATTTTTTTTAACTCCCAAACATGAAAGGGAATGTCATAAACCTTTGTCAACAATCCTCTTCCCTCCAAAACCTAACTCTCAAACTTATCCTTACAAATACCCATGCGAGAGAGTCTGTATACCGTACAGCTCCGACTGTCTTGTGAGCACCGTACAACCGATGACATTTTCGTAATTTAAATGAAAATCGCGCTTTCCTTGAAATGAGCATTAATGCACATTTAGTGAACATCAAACCTATTTTGTTGAGTATTAGAAGTTCAGTATTGAGCATCATGATTTTCTGCTTCTTATCTTGTTATTCACTTTCTTTATTCTTACTTTTTAAAATGTCTATAATGAACTCATATGAATCCAATATGTGAATCTAGTGTAATATTGTACTTTTAAAATATGCATGAATGTGACATTTTAAGATGAGCAATACACAAACAACAAATGAGTATATAACTCACTAAATGAGTATCGAAAAATTCAAAAAATACATTTAAAATCTCTAGTATGTTCAAATATTAAATGAGCACACATAACATACAAAAATGAGCATCATAAAATTTAAAATGAGCACTACACCAATATGCATGAATATGATATTTTAAAATGAGTATTACATCAATATCAAATGAGTACACATAAATTACGAAATGAGTCTTGAAAAATTTAAAAATCTTTGATATGATTAAATGTTAATTTATATATGTTCATATGAGTATAACATAAATAAAGTAGCACCATCCACAAATGAAATTGCACTCATCAACAAAAAACATAGAATCCCAAATAGCAAATAAACCAGCAGAATCCGGCTATCTTGTTACCCAACGAACCATCCCCTCCTAGCGTAACCAAACACTCTTGTTTAGTAAACACCAAAAAATAAAAAACTGTCCAGATGCTCGCAATAGCGACACAAAGCAGAAGCATTCCTGATTTTAGGGTGGTCAAGAAAGAGGGAGAATTCCCAAATACGGAGTACATAATCCGTCTGAGAGACGGCATCCCTCAGTCTTCTTCTCCAACTCTACATGTTAGCAGCAAGATGTAGATGTCCGCAACATGTCCAACGAAACTTCATCGCATCAACATCACAGCTTGCCCCAATCATAATAACCCTTAAATTTAGCAAAATATTACAAAAATATCTGGTTGTACCAAGCAGACGGTATAGCCGGTTGTACTTTATATTTTACCCATGCGAGGATATTAAGTCATATCAGTGGGGGCGGATGGCTGTGCGAAGTCCAGCCCATTTTATTTTAAATAGTACAGGCATAGGTTGAGTTATCAACCCACTCCAAAATCAATTCCCATGCCAGCTCAAAATTTATTCCCAACCCAATTCAAAATTAAACTTATCTCTTCGAAAGTGAATCGTTAAAGTGGTGAAGAGAGTTGTGAACCTATACCTACAATGGTGAAGACGACACTTCGCAACAAAATGGGAGATATTTTCTTGAAGATTCATTGATGAACTACATTGAACAATATTTTGTCAATAATATAGATGTAGATTATATTATTGATGAATTTTATATTTTGAAGTTGCGTAGGGCACAATTTAAATGATATTTTGAAGAATATTTAAAGTGTTGATGATTTGACGTATTATTATGTATGATTGATCGACTCGAAATCTAATTCAAGAATTTATAATAGAATTGTAATTTTAGTCTTGTTGACTTTCTCCTGCTTTTTAATATTGATGTAACTTACATCTAGTATTTTAATATAAGCCATTTATATTTAAACAAAATTACTTTTTATCTATCATGCTTATTTTATTTTAGTACACATTGATATTGATATTAGGTCAAAAGGCCACCACTGAAAAAAGAAAAACAATCCCTGCCAACAAGATGAACTCCTTGGGGAGCAGATTGTCTTCCATCTTCAATCGCACGAATGCATCTCTGAACCCAGTGAGTTGGGAGCTCCAACAATATCGTGGGATCCGAGTGAAGGTGTATAACAATAACCTGGAGAGAGCACTTGGTGTGATGCAGAGGATGATGCAGTCCAGTGGGATCGAACGACTCATTAAGCGCCCTGAGACTCGCCATATCAAGAACTGCGAGAAGCGGGTATTGGCTAAGAAACTCCTCCAGCGCAAGCTCCAGTCCCAGGAACTTGCTCGCAAGCTCAAATCCATCCTCGTCAAGAGAATCAGGTACTCCCAGCTTAAAGTTTGTTCGGGATTATTTCAATTGAAACAAAAGTTTAGCCTAAGTTTTTCTAGTGAATGGTCGTGAATTAACATTTCCTATAGTGATATTTGGTGTATGTGTATGTGTATGTGTTTGTGGACATATAATCCAATTGTCATTTGAGATTTAGTGATGCAAATACCTACTGTACTCTAGTGTACTAGAAACACCATCAGTGTAATGCTGAAATAATGTCCGATTAGACAAGATTACAAGAGTATGTTATACTGATTACTGTCCCAGCTTCATTAGTTTGCTCGACATTGAGTTTATTTGTGGTTGAAGTCTTGAAGTAGGAAGTTTTAAAATGCTGAAAATAAAATATTGGAACCATTTCTTACGAATGGGTTTTGGCTGGTCTCTTGGTAGCTATAAAAGGGTCAGGTGTGTGAATTTCAATTTGCTTGATGATTCTGGATCTCACAGGTATGGCCGTATGGGGGTTGGGGACCCTCAGAATCTCAGATGAGTCATGAGTTTCTTCATCAGCACTAAAACTTTTCTAATCATCCTATTACAATTGATTTAGTAACTGTTCTGCAAACTAAAGTTATTTAGTTAAGGATCTTCAGTTGCATAACAAGTACACTAAAATTTAGTTTTTTCCCCAATCCATAAAAGAATAATGATTGCTTAAATGGCTATTTTGGTATATAAGCTGGGTTACTTGGTTATTTTTGGACCCTTATTGTTGAAATGGAATTTAAGTAAGAATTTGAGAATCTGGACAGAGGAAAATAAACAAATACTACCAAGCTAATTATTTGTTTCCATCCTATGTCCTAGAGCACGTGGATGATGAACAATCTCCTCTCTTAAGTAGACAAAGGAGGCTACAGTCATCCTTACATACATAATTATCTGTTTCATAAAAATTTATCCATAACAACTAACAACAAAGAGTTCACAAGTGTGAAAGTGGATGCAGCTAGAGGGCAAAAGGTTAATTCCCAATAAGATCTGAAGTAGTTTTGCTGGCGACTACATTGGCTCTCCTGTTTTTTAAACTATAACAGAAACCATGATATTGTCACATGAAATCACTCAGTCGAATTGGTGAGGCTTTAAAATCATTCATTGACTCATTCCATTGCTAGATTAGTGTAGGCATGTGGAAGCCACCAGACTATATCACATGAAGAAAGAGTTTAAAGTAACTCATTCAAGTACTAGGTTAGTGTAGGCATGTGGAAGCCACCAGACTATATCACATGAAGAAAGAGTTTAAAGTAACTCATTCAAGTACTAGGTTAGTGTAGGCATGTGGAAGCCACCAGACCAAATAATTCCTTGACGCGTATTGCTGATTGCAATGTATGTGTTTTTAAATTTATAATTCTGCTAACACAGCAGACTTGTGGTAAAGGGTGTGGGACATTCCAGCCTTAAAGGCATGTTCAGAAGGATGGTTTTTTAGGGGAAGACTTTGGAGGGATTGTCCATACCTTAGTGCGATTGAAATGTTATACAATCACATAACATGTTAATCTTTCAATTCATATACATCTCCAATTCTCTTCCATTGTACAAAAATAATCTCCAATAAATGTTAAGACCTAAGATATAGATTAACCCATGCAAGGACCTCCCCTCCAAACCCACTAAAACCACCTACCCAAAGAGACCCTCAAGCTCAAGGTGTTAAATAAACCCCATGCAAGGCCTTCCCCTCCAAACCACAGAAATTTCCACCCAAACAGACCCTAAAAAGTGTTGAATAAACCCCCATGAACGTGGAACTAGAAGTATAAAGCTCTCCACCCAAACAGACCATTAAGGGCCAAAATCACTTATTTCCCATGATAGTTTTTCTGTCGTGACACCCTGACTTCTTTGCTTGCAGGGGTCTATAAGAGGAATAAAAAGGATCTTGTCTACATTGGTGGTGACAGTCAACCACTATTTTGAGTGTGGTTTCTCTGTACTTTGAAATATAATGCAGAACAGTGGTGGAAAGTAAAGCCTCCATTAGATCTTATTATATCCTCGTAAAACATGGGTGAGGAGGATGCATTTCTAGCTTTAGCTTCGTATTATGTATAAATGCAAAAGGTACTTGGATGGACATACATTTACAAGTATTTCATGAATTTTCAGTATGCCCAGTCTGTCTTGATAATTGCCATTTAGGAGTGCCATTAGTTATTGAGCATAAATCTTTGCAGCAACAAACCTAATACTCCTCTTTCCCATTTATAGGTTCTCGTCCAATATTCTCTGATCAATGTGAATTGTTCTTAATCGTTTACTTTATATATCTAACATTTATCAAATTTAATTTTTCTTGATCGGATATTATAGAACTTTTTATATGATTTTTGAATATGTACATTTTATTTACTAAAAATAATCTTGTTAATGACAGAGATCAGTTAACTTTATGGTCAGTCAAACATCGTAACCCACACACCATTGTGTGACGGAAGATTACTGAAGAAGTATATATTTTCTGACTATTATTAACCTTTAAGTGTGACGGAAGTATATATTTTCTGACTATTATGAACCATGTTTTTAAAAAATACCACATATTGTGTTCCGGCTATTATTAACGGGTAAGATGCTAAAATGGATTTGAAATGCAGAAAATAGCTATGTTTTAACAACGCAAAAGGAATAAAAATATTTCCTCTAGACTTTTGAAATATAAAATAGCTACTTTTCTTTTTTCCAAAAATATGACTAACCTTCATTTAATTAATTTAAATATTCTCTCTTTATAATTTATATTTAATCTCTGCCCTAGCTTACCCCAACTCAGTTGTCGCCGGAAAAGACACTAGAGAATTTTTAAGGAACTTTTTTACATTTTCGTGAAAAGCCAATGGAAAATTTTCAAATGGTCACAGTGACATGTTTCAAATTGATAGTGACATCTGTTGCAATTGTTAGTGACATACTCTCTTCGTCTCTTAAAGTTTTGCCAAATTTGATCGACACAAAAAAATGACAAAAATTTTAAGTGATTGAGGGAGTAATAAATTGACAATGATAAAAAATTGTTTTATTACCTTGTTAGTTATATTTTTATCAATATGCAAAGAAAAAAAATATGAAGCCTTTTATGGAGTCATAAGGACTCATGCGGCTCATCAATAATATTTTATTTTCATAGTGGAGAGTCCTACTTTATAAATGAATGATTATGATGTGTCCACTCATGTAATATGACTCCATAAATTAAGGAGTCATGTTGAAGTTCATGAAATTCTATATGTAATATACTTCCTCCGTCTCGCAAAGAAGTTCCCGGTTTGAGCTACACACATATTAAGGAAATACACTTACCTGCAGGGGTAAATTTTACTGTTTTAACATTGTTTCAACTAGTCCTGGACTCGGGCCGGGCGGACCGAACCGGGCCCGACCCGACCCGCTCACTGTAGCAACCGGCCCGACCCGGTCCACCGGGCCACAGGCGGTTCGGGCCTACCCGGCCCGGGTGTAGGGCGGTCCGGGCCCTTATTTTCTTGAACCGGCCCGGCCGGGCCGGGCCCGGTCCGGGCCTAACGGCTAATTTTAAAAAAAAAAATTCTTTTTTCAAATTTTTTTGGGCCTTGGTCTTGGTCTTTGTAGCCGTTGGGGCTGTTTGGGAGCCTCCAAACGGCTCTATAGCCGTTGGAGGGGGGTGGGGGGGGTGGGGGGAGAAAAAAAACCCTATTTATACTCCTATTTTCTATACATTTTTTACACCTTCTCTACTCTCTAATTCTCTATTCTCTCAATCTCTAAAATCTTCATTCATCTTCATCTTCATCTTCTATTCTTCTCCAATTTATCTCTACATATATATTATTTATATAAATATTATTATATCTACTTATATATTAATTATCTACTTATATATACATATATTACATTACTAATATTTATTATCTACTTAATATATATTTATTATCTTATAATTAGCTACTTTACATATATATATATATATTATATAACTTATATTCCTTATCTACTTAATTTCTACTTATTATTAATATATTATATCTACTTATATATTTATTATCTACTTATATATACATATAGTACTTTACTAATATTTATTGTCTACTTAATAGTTAATATATACTTACTATCTTCTTAAAGTAGATAATTTGATATCTAATTATCTACTTTACATACATATATTATCTTCTCCCTATTCATCATCAACCAATCGGCCAATCCACCAAGGTATTCTTCTCTTCTTTTATCCATTAATGGCGTTATATTCAAGTAGTAAATTTGGACATTTTAATTAAAGTATAAAACTAGTTAATTTGTTGCATTTCTCATTAAAGTGTACACCTAGTAAATTTAGACATTTTAATTAAAGTATAAAACTAGTTAAGTTTTTGCATTATTCATTAAAGTGTACACCTAGTAAATTTAGACATTTTAATTAAAATATAAAACTAGTTAAGTTGTTGCATTATTCATTATAGTGTACAAGTAGTAAATTTGGACATTTTAATTAAAGTATAAAACTAGTTAAGTTGTTGCATTATTCATTAAAGTGTACGCCTAGTAAATTTAGACATTTTAATTAAAATATAAAACTAGTTAAGTTGTTGCATTATTCATTAAAGTGTACAAGTAGTAAATTTGGACATTTTAATTAAAGTATAAAACTAGTTAAGTTGTTGCATTATTCATTAAAGTGTACAAGTAGTAAAATTGGACATTTTAATTTAAGTATAAAACTAGTTAAGTTGTTGCATTATTCATTAAAGTGTACAAGTAGTAAATCTAGACATTTTAATTAAAATATAAAACTAGTTAAGTTGTTGCATTATTCATTAAAGTGTACAAATATTAAAATATTAAAATATACTTTTAGACATATTAACTAGTTAGACATATTAAAATATTTGATATACTTTTGTATTTGTGAAGATGGAGCGCGGTAGACATTCTTTGGATATCGGAAATCTCCAACGCAACCGAAAGAAGGAGATTGCGAGAACTCATCCTAGTTTGCGCAAAAAAAGCGGGCAGTCCGGATCTTCTTCTCAAAGTGGATGCGAGGAAGAACCGGAATACCAACGGCGAGATGGTGAAAGAATGTCCGACGAGCAACTACAACAACTTTTGGCTCAAAATCCTCAATTTTTCCATCAACGAGACATCCCGGACGATATTCACACCATTGACGAAGAAGAGCTCGAGGATGACGATCCGGAGGAGGACGCGGGGGGCGCCGGGAGTCACGACACCCCGGATGAGGAGCAAGCGGCGGATTACGAGGGTGGTTCATCCCAAATAGGTACGAAATCTAAATCTCCTATTATAAAAAATAATTTTAAAAAGTATAAAGACCCAAGCACCGAGAAATGGTACGCAAGTTGCAACCATTGCGATAAGGTGTACAGTTTGGGAACTTCAGGCGGATACGGGAGCCTCAAAAGGCATCTTATGGGCAAGCACAAGGTGGAGTACGCAAAAATTGAGAAAGGCAAGGGGAAGCAAACACAAATATCGAGGTTTGCAAATAACCAACCTTATGGTAATTTCTCATACAATGATCAACAAAATTTGACTGGTATGGCTAACTTTATAGTTGAAGAAAATTTACCTTATTTGTTTTCTGAAAGTGTTTCTTTTAAAGAGTATGCACAAACTTGTTTAAATCCTCAATTTCGAAGTTATAGTCGAAAAACGGTTAAAAAAGAAATTATAAGGCTTTATAAGGTGGAAAAGTTGAACTTACAAATTTTTTTTTGCAAACTATGATGGACGTGTTACTGTTTGTTCTGACATATGGGAGGACACCTATCATAATTTACATTATTTGGGTTTGACTGCACATTATGTCGATGATGATTGGAATATGCATAAACGTGTTATTGCTTTTCGTGAATTTAATGATCGTCACACCGCCGAACATATTTATATTTTGATTGAGCGTATTTTAATTGAGTATAATTTGGTTCATAAGGTGTTTGCTATAGGTTTTGATAATGCTACTAATAATACTGCTGCTATACCTAGATTGCGTGAATTGTGTGGTGCTACTACTTTGATGGGTAGATTTTTTCATCAACGATGTGCATGCCATATAATAAATTTATGTGTGCAGGATGGTCTAAAAGCGTTGGGAGATGCTATGGAGGTAGCGAAGGGGGGATTAGACGTATTTGAGCTAATGGTCAACTTAAATTAAAATGGAAAAATTATTTGAATGAAAGAAATGTGAAATATGTTGCTTTTCCTAAAGATTTGTCTATTCGGTGGAATAGTTCTTATAAATTAATTAGAGTTCTTATTAGATATAAAGAACATTTTCCTGCTTTTTTAAAAGAATATGATAACTACATTTTAAACTCTGCTCACATCGACACTTGCGAAAAAATTTGTAATGTTTTGATATTTTTTAATAATGCAACTGAAAGTTTTAGTCATGTTTATAAACCTACTTCAAACGAATTTATGCGTGAACTTGTTAATCTCGCCGGTGCTTTTAATGAATTTCAAAATGCCGATTATGTGAGCTATTTTTGTACTTTTATGAAGGAAAAGTTTTTAAAATATTATGCACATATTCCACATATTTATGATATTGCTTTTATTCTCGATCCTCGTTATCGACTTGGTAATTTGGAACAATGTTACAAGTTCTATTATCAATCTTTTTATGGTGATTTTCCAATGTATGAAGATAACCCTATAGATCCGCAATCTGAATACAACGAGGTTAGTAGTTTATTTTATTCTTTATTTAATGAGTTTCGTGCACAATATGGCAACATGCCCCCTCCCCCAACCCAAACATCTTCATCTAAAGGAAAAGGTTTTTTTAAATCTGCATTTGGCAATCTTATGAAAAAAGCTAAAACAACGCACACTACTGAACAAAGCACAATTAATGAGATTGCTTTGTATATTAACTATGAGGTTGAGTTTGTAGAAAATGAAGATTTTGACGTCCTAAAGTGGTGGAAGTCAAAAGAAAGAACGTTCCCGATTTTGGCACGGATGGCTAAGCAAGTACTATCAATGCCGGTTTCAACAGTTGCCGTGGAACAAGAATTTAGTTCGGCCGGCAACGTCCTAACTAAATCGAGAACGTGTTTGAGTGCCGAATCTCTTGAGACACTTATATGCTACCACGATTGGTTGAAGGCAAGACGTAGAACTCAAGAACTTAGCCTCATCCCCTCCCAAGACTTTATGGATGAATCAACCGATGGTGGTTCTACCTATGCCGGTGATTCCGATTGATTAGTATTTTACAATTTCTTATTTTATCCTCAATTCTCTATTGTAATTTGTGAACTTGTAGATTTGTAGTTCATATTTCAAATCAATAAAAGTTAAATTTTTTTATATGTCGCATTTTTTAATTATATTATATTATTATTACTTAATAGAAAATGTATTAGAATTAATTGTTCTCAATTCTCAAAATGTACTTATTACTTATTTCACATAAATGTACTTCAAGATTGTTTTTAAATAATTTTAATATTCAAGATTCCAAGTAGATGTATAAGAATATAAGTTAAAAAAAAAAATTATTCTAGGCCCGACCCGACCCGCCGGTTCACCCGACCGGGGCCCGGCCGGGTCACCCGGCCCGAACCGGCACCCGCTCACAGTCGGGCCGGGCCCGGGCCTTACATAACCGAACCGAGGCCCGGCCGGGCCCAGGCCCGAACCGGCCCGAGGCCAGGCCTAGTTTCAACACTGTTTGACACTGTTTTGCACTGTTTTGATGTAGATAACTTGTCATTTAAGGAAAGTGGAACTTCTTTTGGGACTGCTAAAAAAGGAAAGTGAGAACTTTTTTGTGAGACGGAGGGAGTAGTTACTTTTTGGAATTGAGTTTCAATTTCAGTCACATTTAAGGAATACCCCTTTTAACAATTTAACATAGCAGGTCGACTTGAAACCCGGTGACCCTGTGGGTTAGGTATCTATCTACCAACCCGTAAGAATAGACCGAAGATGTTTAGAGGGAATGTTAGATCAAATTAAAGATAAACAACAAAAATGTTGATCTCAATACAGAAGAGAATGAAAGACTGACGAGAGATGCACTTCAATGATAAGTTAGTAGCATCAAAATTGCAAACAAATTCCTGTAAGTAACCATCGAAGATGCTCTTATAAAAAAATTGATTTTTGCACCTTACTTTTCACTTAAATTTCAATGGAAATGGTGAGATTTTCTTTTAAAATCTCCAATGGGGATCTTTCCTGGATTTTCAAATAGGGGGAATCGGAGTTTGCACCCCACATTATTGAACAAATTTGAGTTTGCACCTTGTTTTGAAAAAACTTTAATCTTTGCACCCTAGCACCAAACAGTCCTTTAGTTACTGTTAAATACATTTTAGAAAGACAACAATGCCCTGCTACTTCAACATATATGAGACCAATGAGTTGGTTGTTTCCTAGATTGAAAGCACGCTCTTCCTCTCTCGGTACTGTTCATTAAGGAGTCAGGATTCCCTAGTGATGAAGTACTTGCAGCTTCACCTCATTTATATCTCCAAAACAAAAGCTAAAGGTATCAACTTGCCTAGGAATACAACCTATAACAACCCAAACCAATTTCATTATATCTACTGAAACAAGTGATCAACTTCCAATTTGCCTAGGAATACAACATATAACAACTAACCAAGCCAAATCCATTAGAGAAAATGCAGAAATTAAATGCAAAAGTGAACCTGCACCATCAAAGTACCTGGACCACATTTATATCTCCAAACAAAAGTTAAAGGTACCAAAAAATTGCATTAAAGGCAAGAAGCTGACAATACAAAAACAAATAAAAATGAAGCAGTTTCTTCATTAGTAATTATACTTCACTTATTCACTGTAAAACCAACTTACAGCCTAGGAACTGGTTCATTTTTACAGGTTTTTGTATTGTCAACTTTTTGCCTTTGATAATGGTTTTTGTATGGCTCATCATGAACCGGATCATGGTTTCGGATTTTCAGGTAGATCAACCACCTTGTTCTGAAATTAACCAATTACTTCACTTCCATTATTTATTACAATATGTACCGCTACAATCTTAGTTGATTGTTCAAACTTGTGTGTTTATTATGCTCAATAATGACTCTTCTCACAAAAAAACAATAAGAAAATATCGATTGCTTACTAGCATCTGGTAAAGAGTGAATCTTTCGCTTCATGGGTAATTTCTTAGATATCCTCTCGAATCTCTCTGTTGGTGTTGGAGCAAGTGCATGTGATTCAGAATCCAGAAATATCTCCCCGTATTCTTCTAAGAGCAAGAATCTGGTCATTTTATCACGTTCTTCATTGTGAGAGCTCGATTTCTCCATGTTTCATCAAAACCCTAAATATTTTCGAAGAACAAGCTCTTACGTAGTTTTGAAATGAACTATTCTTTTTGCAAGGGCTGGGCATTATAGTCTTTCCAAAGTAATGCTAACTCTATTTAACAAATTTGTAACAGATGGGGTGCAAAACTTAATGTTTTTCAAAAAGGGTGCATTGGTGCAAACTCCAATCCCCCCTTCTAAATATCTTAGACGTCTTTATAGAGTCTTTTCCAAACTTGACTCTTTCTTAAACTCTTTCAACTTGGGTACTAGGGGTGGACCCGAGCCAGGCCGGTCCCGGTTCAGGCCCGGTCGGGCTTTTGTTTGGGAAGTAGGGAACCAGAACCGGCCCGGGTAGCCGGCGGTTCCGGGCTGGGCCAGTTTCCGGTTCAATTTTTTTTCGAATTTCTTTTGATTTTCTAAATAACCCTCGACCCCCCCAAAAAAAACACTCAGCCCAACCCGGTAGAAAGTAAAAAAAATTGAAAAAAACAAATAAACAAATAAATTTGGCCCGAATCGGCCGAGCCGGTTCGCATTTTAGGGGGGCCGAGCCCGCACCGGGATTAGACCGGTTCCGCTTGGCCCAAACCGTCCCCAAGACCAGGTACCGGGCCGGGCCCAAACAGTACCGGGCCGGTCCGGTTCCGTGCCGGGCGGCCCGACCCGAGTCCACCCCTATGGGTACCTTTCGTCCCAAATCTAAACAAACTAAAAAATTGCACATCCTAAGACAATGCAACAATCCTACCACATTTAGGAAATTAGAGCTACTACATAGTTTAGTGTAACACAGTGAGGACAAAAGACCACCAAAGATTGCAAAAAGGCGTTAATCAGACTGCTAATGATTAGCTTGGTGGCCTTAGAGGCCTAGAAATGATCTCTACCTTCCAGAAAATCCTGACCAGTCTTAGTTTACCCAGACGAACAAGTCTTGCGAACACTATGACATCATTAAAAAAATACAAAATCAGTACAAAAAGGGGTTGGTATACCCTGATATCCATATGGAAATTATACATGCCACACAAAAACTTGCTTCATTAAGTTCAAAAGGAGCAATTTTCTTTTCCTTTCTTTTCTACATATATGATCTGATATGAATGTTTAAATGGTTGAGTTGGTTCAGCAAGCGTCCAATATGCAAAAGTTCCAGTTTTACAGTCTATATTAAGGATTCCCTGTAACCTCCTCCTCCCTCTCATCCGCAATGTGGAAGCCTTCAATTTTGTGCGTGACCTCTTCTGCAGAGTCCTTTGGTTTTCCATTTGTCATTGTGATACCATCAGCATCATCATTCGTTAATGGACCCGTCTGCCATATTCGGATGGTCCCATCTTCAGATCCCGAGGAATATGATTCCCCTGTTGGTGCAAATCGCACACAATGGACCGGACCATGGTGACCCTTGTTACACGCTGCAAAAATGTTACAAAACCTGATACATTTAATACAGATTACTGCTACTTCCCTGGATGAATTAATTTAGCTACTGTTTAGACCGGACCAATTTTTTTAGACCGGATCAGACCAGATGTCATTTCAAACAAGGGACTTAGATAAGATCACACACTCAAACCAGACCAAGTATTCTGATCAAACAAGAATCAGACTAGACTGGAATAAACATTAACAGGCTCGAAAGATCCAGACATGGCCAAATCTTTAAAAAGAAATACGTCATGTCACATTTTTCAGGAGAAGAGAATAGATCCAAAGTTGAAGGGTTGAACTCAAACCAGACTACAATTGATGAGGGTTAAAAGTATCCGCCAAATCATACTGTGGTTTTCTGGAGATATTTCGTACCATGGAAAGGAATTGGACTGTTAAGGGAGGGAAGGAAATTTTTGAGAAGAAACAAAACGGGCAGGCTCCACTGCGTCAGCGATAGAGAAGAGAAGATTTGATGAAAACTTTCATGTGCACCAGGCGTGATTTTTTAACCAGCTTCATATTATGCTTCAGGTAATGGGGATGCTTTGAGAAAATTACCAATGATATTTGTATTATGATGGAAATAAACGTAATGGGGTTAAGTGGTTAACATGCTAAGAATACCGGTAGGTTTGATTATTTCTATAATTATTTTCTAAGAAAGGGCAGCTCTATTTGAAGCAGAAACAAATAAGACGGTATTCTTAATTAAGACAGTAGTAATAAAGAAAACATAAAAAAGCAGAAACAAAGGAAGGGCGGGCATACCGAGTTCTTCACCGGTATTAAAATCAAAAACACGGACCCACATATCTTCTCCCCCAGCAACAAATTTGAATCCATATTTTGGTTCCAGAGTAGCAGACTCTATAGTACATGGCATGTTGTAACTCTTCACCAATCCAAAGCTTCATAAAATACCAAAGTGCACAAAAAAATTGTATTAGGAATCCTGTCAAGATGAAAAAGTGATGAGTGTAGAGTGCAAGGAAATACTTACTGATTTGCATCCCAAAACTTGACACTGGACCCATCAGCAGTAGTTATATAGCGGCCATCTTGACTCACTTCAGCACTGGTAACAGGTGATTTTGTCTCTAGCGTGCGGGCTATTCCACCAGTTCTTACATCCCATAACCTGCAACAGTATACTGCTTTTTAACACAATCTTTTTCATTCTTACTAAGTGAAAATTAAAAGCAAAATTATCTAGAGATGTTACTATGTTTCATTGCAAAATTTGGTAGTTTGTTTTTTCCTGCTTATAGCCCATATCTGCCGATAAGCACTAACTTAATTGACAGCTGGCTGAAGCTGCTGACGATAATAAAAATGGCAGTGCACAAGTTGTTTTTCTTTGTTTTTGCTGAATGGCTGAAACAAAAGCAAATGACTCTTTCACCTTCATTTTTAGATATTATTTTAGATAAATAATTTCAGTCAGCCTATTCAGAATAACTTTACTCTTATCAAACGAGCTCTATATGTTTGCATATAACAGAATAAGTAGCCATAAACAGTTAACTTAGGAGTTAGGAAAAGAACCAAGAGACAAAAGTGAGGTCACAAGGTCTTTAAACAATATACCTAACACCTCCCATATCACTGCAAGAACTTAATATGGTTTGATCACTGTGGAGCCATGAAACCGTTCTCACTGAGCCTGGACACTTAGCCACTTCTCTAGGAGGTGCATCTGGACGGTTCAAATCATATATACGTAGGATTTTCTCAACTCCCCCCGTTAGTAGAAAATTAGTATCCTGCCCCAGATAAAATTTTAAAGAAAAAATGAACCAAGTTATGGTAAATAATTATGAATACAAAACAGAATGATATCCTAGATGGATAGATAGAAATATACCTCAGAGAAATCACAAGTTCGGACAATGTGCTTGTGCTCAAATGAGTGCAGTTCATCCCCTGTCAATGCATCCCAAATTTTTCTGTGCCAGAAGATTAGAAACAAAGATTATATCATCACATACAATAGATGAATACCTTAACTCCACAAACATGCCTCTTCCATGGAAAACCTAAGGTGTAGTTAGCTCAAATAGAAATTTGATGGATCATAAAGTGATTAAAAATTGGGGCACAATCAATATAACAGGGGTTTTCATCACATTAACAGAAGATTGCAGAGATAGGAACATACGCAGAAAAGTCAGCAGAACCAGATGCAGCACGCAAAGCATTCCTATCCAAGCAGCAACTCCACACTGCACCTTTGTGCCCTTCGAATGTCCCGATCCAATCTCCAGTCTCGCCATTTCTGAGCATTGGCTTTGAATCTTAGCAACACAAATGAAGAATATTTTGTCAGTTTGCGGATGGATATCCAGAACTCTTGAATGAATTGTATATGAATTGTATACATAAAAACAGATTATATTAACTCAAGAATGTAAGACCATTTCTACATGCATGTACTAACACAGACCGCAATCTGCCACCCAAACACTTTAGGGGATAGATTACCACAGAAAAAGTGATATACTGATATCACCCACTCCATAATGCCATAAACAGACATGTCTCCAATAATTTTGACATTAAAATAGCAAATTTCAGCATTGAACTAATACTAGACTATGAAGAAAATGATGATGATGAGTAATGAGAGCAAATGGAAAACTAAGCCATAGAGAAAAACAAACAAACAATAAACATAACATGAAAACTATCACTGACATGAAAGTTAAGGTAAAGGCAACTGGGTTGGGAAAACTATAGAGCTACAAGACCACTATGAGACTTTTACTGTGTCTTTTCAATCATACACAGGCTTAAAATTTCAATTGAAAAACCACTGCTGATCAAGCAAATATGGTCAAGAAGATGCGCCATTATAATTCTACCTTCCAACCATTTTATTCCTATTTACTTATTTTGTTATGGATAAGCTTTTGAGCGCAAAATATTTAATGCTAGGAATTCACAGTCACACAGCAAATCCATTGCATATTGAAAGAATAAACATGTAAATGATGCCCGATAGTTTATATTTTAGCAACAGCACCCCTGCCCTTTAATGCTATGTGATCCTTAAATCGTGTGTCATGTGTGTGTTACATCACTACCTTCTACATACCTGTGCGTTGTGGATGCTTGAAGTTCATATACGTACAGTATAAAGTGTCTGTCTAAAAAATCCTAAGTTGAATAAGAAGTCATCTCAAGAATTACAGCTGCTGATTGTCATCCGCAAAGGTAAAACTGCCGAGTTATTATAATTAAAAAGGGATCCAGACTATAGCAGGCTGGATAGTGATCAATTGCCAGAGAAAATTATGCAATAGGTTAAAGCATAAAATTAGGACAACATACAGAGAAAGAAAATAAACTGCAAACGGATATCATACCCTTGCTGGCACTGATGAGGAAGATCCCATCAGGGGTTACTGGACTATAGAACAAATCAACCACAGGACGCGAATGGCCATGGCAAACTAATGGTACCACAACTTTCTTCTTCTCCATTTCTCTCACCCCCTTCAATAACAAACAAATCCCTGACTATAATGCGAACGCCTTTCAATTACTTCTCAAGAAAAGCCGTACAATATTCTCAATTTTTCCTAATCAGACTGAAATTCACCGATTCAGAAAAACAAACAAAGAAATGATCAACTGCAACTTGACGTATTGTGCGCGAAATCAACTTTCAAGAACCATACGAGATTTTTGTTTTTGCTTTTCGTTTTTACATTTTGCTTCAAGAATCGGCAGGTATATCTGAAAAACGAGGATCAATGATTGGGAGAAGGGGAGATTTTTGGAGAAGAAGCTAGGCCGTTTCCCTTATTATTACGGAGTGATGTGAGTTTGAATTGAGATTAGGAGGCCATCCATGAGCGATGTTGGGATGGCATGGGACATGTAGATATATAGGAGAAGCGACATAAGATTAATGGAGGTTGGGGATCTTGTTGGATTCTTGAGTTTATGGCTCTGTATATGGATTTGATCTGGTGGGCTAATGTACACACATCTCTGTACATTTACCAGATCAGATAATAATGGATTTCAATCTTCAAGATCAGTATTGCAAGCCCTCTCCATAATATTTGGATCTCCTTCCAGTTTATTTCAAATGTAGGCCTTCTTTGGTAATGCAAGCCATCAGATTTCAATCTTCAATTGAAGAAAAATTCTATTTCTACCCATAATTTGTACACACTTACGCATTTTCTTGTGTGCACATACTTCTCATTTTTAAAAAAACAGCAATTGTCTGTATACACAGACGAGTGTAAAATGTACACAAAATGTGTACACCCCTAATTATCTGTATAGATAGGAAACTCGTTTAGAAAAAGACAATAATTATCTGCGTACAGAGGAGAGTGTGTGAAATATGTACAAATTTTTTGTACACGAGGAAGGGTTTATTAGCAAATGTAGGCCTTCTTTGGCAATAGTTGCTACTTCATGTGTGCTTCACTTTGGGGTGATTGGGTGCACCTTTTGCATACGTTTTGTACATTTTGTCCGAGGGTATAGACATTTTTAAAAAATCACATGTTCACAAAGATAAAATAGGGAAGAGTGTACAAAACGTGTACAAATGAAAATTTTCTTTTATATGATTAATTGGACTCGCTTCTAATTACTAGTTTTATACTCCGTATAACAAATTTTATCATTTTCCGTTTCCGTTCTTGCAATCATGGTATACTGCAGTGCACAAGAAACTTTATAATGCGGGGAGTATTTATTTGTATTACATTTTTTAGTAAGCAGTGTTTGTCAATAATTGATTCCGTTAAATGTTTTGAAATGGTGATTATAATTAGAGTTTTTTATAATAACTCTTTGGTAATTAAACAAGGTGTTAAAATGTAAAAATTATCGTTTTGATGGAGTCATACTAATGACATAGTCGTACGTACAGAGTAATAAGAATGTATTCTTTTGGACTGAAATTTGTTGGTCTGGTCTGGTCTGATCTGTCAAATATCTAGTCTTTGTGTATTTTATAACTACATAAGTTTGGCCTGATCTGGTTTGGTCTGGGACTGAAAACAGTACAAAACAAAACATCTTAAACTTGTAAAATACCCTCGTTCATATGTTCATACTATTGATATGTATATTACAACAAAAATTATACTTTAGTAGATTATAAACGAAGATGACATTTCGCATAAAAAATCTATTCTTTAAAAATGTTTTTTCATATGCTCTCAACGTCTATATGAAAATTCAAAGTGATTTTTATGAAAGAAATATAGAGAACTATAAAAAAAATAGATTAAAAGTTGAAAAGGTAAAAAATGGTCAATGCACTATTTCTACTTTAATTTGCTGCTAAGAAGAATCCGTAGGTTTCCACTAATTAATCTAACTATGAATGATCAAAGAAGCTAAAACGCTGATCAGGTGGTTTCAAACCGTGTCATTATCTTTCTTCATTTCACATTTTCAGGGGAATTGATTATGCTTCTGTTTCATTTTTAAAAGTAGAAGCAGAATCAAAATCATTTTTTCAAAAGTTGATCCCCACTAACTTCTAAAACAAGTTTCTAAGAGCAATTTGGAGCACCCAAAATACTTCTACACTTTCACTCAAACACTCCAATATCTATTTTGCTACATGAAAAAACAGAAACAGTTCTAAAAAGTAGATTCAAACACACCCTTTATTGCAAATTACGTAGTATATATAACACAAATTAAGTAGCAACTATTAGAACTTAGATTTGAACTTGTGACTTCTTATATACTGATACAATAATTACCTTATTAGCTTACTTTGGTATGAATAAAAGCTCAATTATTTCAAATGTTATTGGTATACCTTATGCCTCTTGTATCTATTATCATTATCGTCCGAATAGCTAGAGAACATGTTCACATTTCTAGAAAAAGTAAAGAAAAAAAGTAAAGTGTAAAGAAGAAGAAACTTATAGAAAGGAAAGTGTAGTGTGAAGAATATACAAAGTACGAAGTACTACGTATTATTTAGACTCTATGGAGTCATATCTTTTTTACAATGCGCCTCTTCTCATGTTGTGGTTTTGACCGTTTTGTTTGATGCATTGATGCTAATTGAGTGAATGCCCTTGTGTACATGCATGTACATTGGTGGATAATAGGGGTATATCCAAACCAGTGGCATACCCAGAGCTTTTGTTAAGGAAGGGTACTGCAAAATGGATAGAAATGTGTTGGGTCGGGTCACGTGGGGTGTGAAAAAAATCTATTTTGTCTCGTGCAGACAATTTTTTAAAAGGAAATAGATTATTCAATGTCAGTTCCAAGAAATATACACATATATGATTTATAAGTCTAGCTTCAACCTATTAAAACAATTCTGAAGAATAATATTCATTTTTCTGCAAGAAAGACATGTCATGGATTACAACTGAATCATCATTGCACTATTTATAATTTTCATATTATGAAACAATCAAAATTTAACTTTTACAATTATGATCGTATCCAACTGTAAGCAGTCATTCCATCATAATTTCATAGTCGTTTAAATGTCTTATAACAATTTACGTATACTCTTTGAAGGAATTATTACCTCATTTAATAGTTATACATATTTTTTTTTATCCGGATAGGTGAGACACTATTTTTATCTTAAGTACTTATACTAAAGTTCGGGGTTGGAAGCGGGGGCACTTGCCCCCCTAGGACCCCCTAGGTCCTCCACTGATCCAAACACATAATTAAGGAGAGATTTAGAACAAATGGAGAAGAGAGATAATGAATAATAGAATTTGTATGAGTGAATATCAATTAGGATTACAAAGTCTCCCATGGGGAGTATATATAGAGAAATAACGGGCCGGGTCACTAATATGAGCCCAATATGTTTAACTACGTGAAAGGCTAATCTATTAGATACAAATGAATATGTAAAATGTACAATATTATACTCCCTCCATCCCATTAGACTTTGCAAACTTTCCTTTTTTGATTGTCCCAAAAAACTTTGTCACTTTCTTATTAAAGCAACTAATCTGTGGTTCTGCACATTTGTCTCTCCTTTGCACAAATTTCAACCACACAGTTTTTACTATTCTTATTTCTCACATACTTTGCATTTGGCAAAGTCCAACGGGACAGAGGGAATAAATGATATCTGCTAACCGTATATAGGGATGACAATGGGGCGGGTTTGGGGCGGGGGTACACTCCCCCATCCCCCGCCCCATGTCTAAAAAGTTCTCCCCATCCCCGCCCCATCCCCCGTTACTCCCAGACCCGCCCCATCCCCACCCCACCCCATTGGCCCCCACGGGTGCACACGGGTGCCCGCATATAAATTTAATTATCGTATTTGCATATACTTTTAATCTCTTATTATAAATATATGTAGCGCGATTCCAATGAAAACGATGCTTAACGTAGGAACACTCACATTTAATCCAATGTGATACACAATAATCCAATGTGATACACAATAGAGTCATTCTAGTGCACATTTGGACTTCACTCAATACAAGCTAATATAAATAATCACGGTGGAACTTTTGTAAATATTATGCTAGATACAAAAAAGTGCATTGTGCGAGTTGCTTCACATTGGGGGTAAATGTGGTGTTCGCATGTTCTCATGTTAAACGTTGTTCTCATTTGATCCTAAGCCTATATATATTTATGCGCACACAGTGATATATGATACACACACACGCACGCAACACTGAAGTATTGTGTTTGTTAAAAGTTAATACCACCAATTTTAATAATTCTTCCATTTGAATAAGTTTTGTGAATTGAAGACAATTAAAGTAAAAATATAAGTAAACATATTATCATCATGTACGTTGTTTCAAAATTCTCAACAATTATAATACAATTAATTACATATTATATTACAAATAAATGTGTGTGTATTTATTTACTCACTTTATACAGAGTAACATTTATGATAAATATTTTTAATCATCACTAGCTTATTATTATTCTAGTATAATACGGAGTATGTATTAATTCATTAACCATGATTAAACCGTATACAATTATGTATGTCTATATGTATATGCGTTTGTTATATACTACAAATAATTTAATTTAATACGTGTGTACATTATTTATGTATGTGTATATATATGTTTGAGTATAGAAAAGATCAGGTCCCTCCGGAGGGACGGGAGGGACCGTCCGGCCAAGGCCATCAGAGGCCCTTCCCGGTGGAATTTTTTGATGAATTTTTTTGAGCATATTCCTCATCAAGTCTAGTTTATCCATACCAAATTTCAGCTAAAAATTCAACCGGGAAGGCACTCAAATGATTTTTGGAAGATAACTGCGTTTTATATGTATATAAACTGCGCAGTTAACTTCCAAAAATCATTTGACTGCCTTCCCGATTGAATTTTTAGCTGAAATTTGGTATGGATAAACTATACTTCATGAAGAACATGCTCAAAAAATTTCAGCAAAAAATTCCACCGGGAAGGGCCCCAAATGGCGACGGCCAGACGGCGGGTCCTGTCCCTCCGGCTGGACAGGATCAGGCCTCAGTTTGAGTATATACTTATAACGGGGACGGAGCGGGGACGGGGCGGGTGTAGCAATACTCGTCCCCCGCCCCATATTTTAACGGCGTAAAAATATTTCACCCATCCCGCCCCCGCCCCACCCCATCCTTCCCCCACGGGGCGGTTCCCCACGGGTCCCCGCCCAATTGCCATCCTTAAGCGTATATGAGGCCGGTATCCAGGCTCTATAGCCGTGAGATTAGGAATCTAAGTCTGCTGGCGAGAGTACTCCTTTTCTATTCTTTGGTCGCTAGACTTTTGGGCAATCCCCGTCCGTTAACAACATCCTAAAATGAGGCCTTAGGGGAGATTTTGCTCAAGATAAACAAGAGAATAGTTGAGTAGTGATCAAACAGTTTGACCACGAGCCAATGGACAACCATAAGCTAGAATCCAATATTCGAGCTTATTTGAAAAGTTAGTCAATCGCTAGAAACAAATACTCAATACACTAGCCACATCTATAAACCATTGAAGCTTGTTGAGTTTCAAGCTCAAACATGAACATTATTCTTACCGAATTGAGCCATTCACAACCTCAAGATATTCGAGCTCAACTGGTTAGGAGTTAGGACCTCATGTACTCTTTTCAAATGTACCCTTTAATAATAAGAGCCTAAAAGGTAACTTTCGTAAAAGTTGGGCAAATCAG